TATATGCAGTTGAAAAATTGATGTTTGTTTTTAGAGTCATAATTTCTTATAATGCCCCTAGTGACCTCTTATGGAACCCTGGGGTTCTGTGGAATACTGGTCGAGAGACCCTGTGATGAGAAGGTATCTATGAAAATGAGGCTACTTAGGGTAAAATAGTGAATGTTTTTCTCTTGAGATCAGAAAAAGACAATGATATTGTCACACCAATTCTGTGTTACACTGGAAGTTCCACCTAGTGCAGTAAAGCGAGAAAGAAGTAACATAAAAATTGTAGAGGAAGAAGTAAAACTATAGATGACATGATTAAGTACATAGGAAAGCCAGGAAAATCTGCAAACTATTAGAATTAAGGTGTATTGAGTAATGTTGCTAAAAATAAGGCCAATATAAAGAAAAACAGTTTTTGTAGACTTAAAAAATTAGAAAATGAAATAACATATGAAGTGCCATATACAAAAATCATCCAATGACCAGGAAGAAAATTAACAAAGATGTGTAATTTGTTTTTCACTGAAGACTGGGTAAAGTCTTTAGCTTTAGAGTATTATGTATTCTCTCTGGCATCCTCCATTTTTTTTTTTTTTTTTTATAGTCTTCCTGATTCTTTTTTTTTTTTTTTTTAAGATTTTATTTATTCATGAGAGACACAGAGAGGCAGAGACATAGGCAGAGGAAAAAGCTGGCTCCCTGCAGGGAGCCCAATATGGGACTCCATCTTGGGACCCCCGGATCATACCCTGGGCCAAAGGCAGGCTCTAAACCACTGAGCCACTCAGGCGTCCCAAATCTTCCTGATCTAAGAGCAAGAAATAAGGAAGTAATTTCAAGTTTCTCAGGTTTATCTCTTTTTCTTTTCTTTTCTTTTCTTTTCTTTTCTTTTTTTTTTTTTTTTACTCATTTTGTTTATAAGAGCTTTTCACTTGACAATTTGACAGCTGTATTTTTGGCTTCTCTGTTTACGTAGTTCAGTGAAAATGATGAGGCTTTCATACGTTGAGTATTGTTTTTGAGCTTGTCCTGATTCTAAAAATTCCACTTTTAAAATTAAAAACTAATAAAGACAGAGTTAGTGCTTTTTTATTTTTCTTGAGCTGTATTCTTTTTGCTTTTATTTCCTGATAAATTGACCTTTTGATAATCTTATATTTAACCTAATGAGGGAAAAGTTTTTTTTTTTTTTTTTTTTTTTTTTTTAAGGAGAGGGATGGAGGGGAGGGGCAGAGGGGAAACAGAGAGATTGAGTGAGGAATGAGTCTTTCTCTAGCAGGCTTCAGGCCCAGTGTGGAGTAGGACTTGGGGCTTAATCGCACAATCCTGAGATCATGCATGACCTGAGTGGAAATCAAGAGTTGGATGTTCAGGGCAGCCCCCGTGGCTCAGCGGTTTAGCGCCACCTGCAGCCCAGGGCCTGATCCTGAAGACCCGGGATCAAGTCCCACATAGGGCTCCCTGCATGGAGCCTGCTTCTCCCTCTGTCTGTGTCTCTGCCTCTCTCTGTGTCTCTCATGAAAAGATAAAATCTTAAAAAAAAAAAAAATTGGACATTCAATCGACTGAACCACTCAGTTGCCCCATAATAATTTTCTCTTTTTTTTTTTTTTTCTCCTTTTTAAGAGAAGGGTAGAGAGTGGTGGGGGAGAGACAAAGGGAGAAGAGAATTTTTTTTTTTTTTTTTTTTAAAGAGAGAGAGTGGAGGTGCGGGTAGGGGGTAGGGTGCAGACAGAGAAATTTAAGCAGGCTGCACACCCAGTGCAGAGCCCAACATGGAGCCCAGTGCCAGGCTTGATCCTACAACACGAAGATCATGACCTTAGCCAAAATCAAGAGTTCGACACTTAATCGACTCGGCCACCTGGGCACCCCAGAAAAGTTTTTAACAAGAAAACTAAGACCTATATGTTAGATTTGATAATCAGTGATAATGAAGGCTACAATAAGTATTTTGAAGACTTGATTTGGCTGTCCCTAGACAAGTAAAACTAAACTCCTTTTTTCCTTCCAGTTTAGGTTGTGCCCTTCTCAGGTCTATATATCTAAAATTTGCATAAATATATTGTGTATTTCCAAAATGAGCAGAATACCAGAGAGAGAGAGAGCACAAGTGGGGTGGAGGGGCAGAAGGAGAAGGACAAGCTGCCTCCTCGATCAGTGTGGATCCCAGAACCTTGAGATCATGACCTGAGCCAAAGTCAGATGTTTAACTGACTGAGCCACCCAGATGCCCCATGGCTCTAATTTTTTAAAATCCATCTCACAAATTAGCAGTTTGGTGAGGTAAATTTCCATTTGTCCTTATGCCAGTCAGCTCATGCAAATGTATCAAAAGGTTTTATAATTTTAAATTTTTTTAATGAATTGATTTTAAACTCACAGGAGGGGTTTACTTGGAAGACTTTTAAGAATAAAAGATTAGGGATCCCTGGGTGGCGCAGTGGTTTAGCGCCTGCCTTTGGCCCAGGGCGCGATCCTGGAGATCCAGGATCGAATCCCACGTCGGGCTTCCGGTGCATGGAGCCTGCTTCTCCCTCTGCCTGTGTCTCTGCTTCTCTCTCTCTCTCTGTGACTATCATAAATAAATAAAAATTAAAAAAAAGGAATTTAAAAAAAAAAGAATAAAAGATTATTTCTGAATTTCCTTTTTTTGCTTTTAGAGAAAGCACAAGAAGTGAGGAGAGGGGGCAGAGGGAGAATCTTAAGCAGATATCAGGAGTCAGATGCTTTTTTTTTTTTTTTAAGATTTTATTTATTCATTCATGAGAGACATGGAGAGAGAGGCAGAGACACAGGTAGAGGGAGAAGCAGGTTCCTTGTGGGGAACCCAATGTGGGACTTGATCCCAGAATCACCAACCAGGATGAAGACAGATGCTCAACTGCTGAGCTACCCAGGCATCCCAAGAGTCCGATGCTTAACCCACTGAGGCAACCAGGCTCCTCTCTAAATTTTTTAACATAGAAGTGAGAGTTTTTATTGTATTTTAAAACTTAAAATATTTTCAAAATACTCTTTTCATAGCATAAACTTTTTTTTTTTGCATAAACTTTTTTTAAAAAAACAATTTGTAACTGACACTGTTAATATTCTAGTTTGACTTTGAAGGAATAGTTTTCTTTTAGAGATTTATTTTATTTGAGAGAGTGAGCACTTGTGAGTAGGGGGCAGAGGGAGAGAATCCTCAAGCAAACTCCATGCTAGTTGAAGAACCTGACTTGGGGCTTGATCTCTTGACCCTTGAGTTCATGACCTGAGCTGAAACCAAATAAAAACATATATTCATACATTGTTTCTCCATAAGGAATCACTAGAAACAGAAAAAAGAGATTTAGGAAACAGGGCAGGGGAGAAAATAAGTAGAATTAGATGTGAGAACAAGACTTCTTCATTTATATCTTCTTCTATTGTTTTTATACCTAGAGATACAGTACACTTACTCTAAACTCCATGCCTCTATTTCTATTTGTAAATTTGTAAATTTGTTTTGATTTCACATATGAGATTCTGTCTGACTTGTACTTAGGGTAATTCCTTCAAGGTCTGACCATGTTGTTATAAATGGCAGAATTTCCTTTCTTTTTTTGGCTAAATAAGGTTCCGTGTGTTTGTGTGTGTACACCACATCTGTCCATCTATCTATGGATGGACACTTGGGTTGCTTCCCTGTCTTAGCTGTTATAAATAATGCTGCAGTAAATATAAGGTGCATGTATCCTTTTGAATTAACATTTTTGTTTTCTTTGGGTAAGTATAATTCCTGGCAGTGGAATTACTGGATTATATGGTATTGTTAACTTTTTGAGGAACCTCCATGTTTTTTTTACAGTGGCTGCACATCTGCATATGTTTTTTAACTCAGTATTTTGTCCTGGACATCTTTCCCTATTAGCACGTAGAGAACATTTGCATTTTATTTTTTTAAGACAATATTTATTTTGGAGAGCGAGAGTGCATGCACACTGGCACAAGTGGGATGAGGGTGGGAGGGAGAGAATCTTCAAGCAGACTTCCTGCTGAGGGCAGAGCCCGATTTGAGTGAGGTTCAATCCCACAAGATTATGACCTGAGCTGAAACCAAGAGTTGAACACTCAACTGACTGAGCCACCCAGGCGCCCCTGCATTTTCTTTTTAAACATCTGTATAGTATTGTAGTGGTGCTATAGTTTATGTAATTAGTCCTCTGTTGATGACCATGGGTCATTTCTAATGTTTTCTTTTTGCAACCAGGGCTGCTGTGACTGTGTCACTAATTGTGAGTTGTGTGGGCATATCTATCTGTAAGGTAAATTCCTAGAAATGGATTGCTGGGCCAAAGGGTTAAATGCATTCTTATTGGCAAATTGTGTTCCCTAGGAGTTGTATTAATTTGCGTTTTTACCAGCAGTGTGTTGGGAGGGCGTGTTTCCTTATAACTGACGGAGTCATCAAACATGGATTTTGCCAGTGTAATAGGTTTGAAATATTTTGGTGGAAACTGAGTATCTCTTCATATGTTTATTTCCATTCATTTTCTGTGATTTTTTTTTTTTTTTAAGATTTATTTATCTTAGAGAAAAAGAGAGGGCTGGGGCTGGGGGCAGAGGAAGAGAGTCCTAAACAGTCTCCACACTGAGCACGGAGCCCAATGCGGGGCTTAGTCACCACCCTGAGATCATGACCTGAGTTGAAACCAAGAGTTGGACACTTAACTGAGTCACCCAGTGCCTCTTCCTTTTCTGTGATTATGTATGTTCTGTTCTGTGGGTCATTTTCCTGTTAGGGTTTTGGGACTTTTAAAATATTAGGAGGATTACTTTGTGATACAGGTTGAGAATATTTTCTCTCAGTTTATCATTTGATTTTAAAGAGCTACAAGTTTGAACCTGGTTCTGATTTTATAGTCCATTTTCTTCATCACTATAATTGTATTGTCTCAAATAATACATGTTCTACATTACTTCTATTACTTAATGCATCTAGCAGTTTAAAACTATCTCCTAATAACAGTTTCTTCTCTCAATAGACACGGCATCAGCGAGGAGATACGCATCCTCTCACTTTAGAAGAAATTTTGGATGAAACACAACATTTAGATATAGGACTCAAGCAGAAACAGTGGCTAATGACTGAGGTAAGAATAGGCTTAAAATGGAGTTAAAAAAATTAGTTGGTTACCATGAAATATTTATTACAACTAAGGTTTTTAATATACTGAAATCTGATAATTATTTTTACTTATTCTTAAAAGAATTGGTATAGGGTCTTTGTTTTTTAAACATACACATTTTTTAAGGTGGTTTGATTTCTTGATTTTCTTAAAAATTTATGTATTTATCTAAAATGTCCAAGACCTTTAGCATGGAATTATAAAGAAGTCAGTCATTGTACTGGTTCCATTTAAGTTTTTACAGATAATTGATACTTTTTTAATTGCTAAATTTAGAATTATATTGTTTTTATATATATTTTAGAATATTTGAATTATGAGGTAGTGTAGGGCTAGGGAAATATTTGTTATATTCTTACTACTATTATGAGTTGATAGTGATGTTACTCTGACAGATTACTTGGAAAACTCATCCTTACATTGTGTATGTACACACATCATTGGAAAAAAAAGAAACCCCACAATAATCACTGGCCCTACTAATTTGGAAATAGCATTTTTAAAAATTCACACATTTCAGTCTTTTCTATTTCAGTATGAAATGAAAATTAGGAATACTTTCTGTGACCCATGTTGTATTCTAAAGATCAAATGTAAAATTCCTAAAGTATAATTCAGTAATTTTACTGAGCAAAGTATTGTTCTTAATTTTTATAATATAAAATCAATGGCTAATCAGTAACATTATAGCTTGTTGTGGTTGTGATATACAAATAGTTGTAATCCACATTTGAATTCAGTTGCTTTACCTAATCTTGAAATTTCATAGGCTACCAATAATAGTTAAAAATTATTTTTATTACTATTCTGTTCTCCCTCCTTTCTTCTATGTTTCTTTTCTTTCTCCTTTTCAGGGTCAGGCTGGCAGCTGCAGAAGAAAATAAATAGGGTAGCTCTTCCTTGAAGAGCTTTCCTTCTGGTAGTAGCTGTACAGCAGAACTGACTAGGAATATAATTATATTCAATAATTCCTGCATTCCTACTCAGTTTCATTCTCAAGCTGCCATTATAGGTAAATTTCTTGTATGCACTAGTCTGGTGCTTTTCCGTTCCTTCCACACCTGTAATTGCCATCTGATACCAGGTGGGGCAGACTGTTGGTATATTCATCCCAGGGTTATGTTTACACATAATGTCAATATATAATAAACTGTACTTTGAGGGTGGGATAGGCAGTACCCAGTTCACTTTGTCTATTAATGTTAATTGGCATTTATTGATTCTTTATCTTCTTTTATCTTCCAAAAAATATGGGTACAGTTTCTTCACATCAGTTGTGATGAAATGGTTTTTCTCCTTTAAAGAATTAATGTAATAATAAAAAGTATCATCATAAAAAGTGAGTAACATGCTGCTCTCTACCTGTTGGTTTTTGGATCCTGGATGTCCAGTATTTTAGATCTGCTAGTTGATATTCACAATATACTTTGTAATTTACAATTGTATTGGGTATCAGTATTTTTTAAATAATTAGTAGAATTTAAGAATGTGTATATGAGGTTTCTCCTTTTATTAATATATCCAAATTGTGTCACTGTTACAGGCATTAGTCAATAATCCCAAAATTGAAGTAATAGATGGGAAGTATGCCTTCAAGCCCAAATACAACTTGAAAGATAAGAAAGCCCTACTTAGGCTGTTAGATAAACATGACCAGCGAGGCTTAGGAGGAATTCTTTTAGAAGACATAGAGGAAGGACTGCCCAATTCCCAGAAAGCTGTCAAGGTAACTTCTCTTTTCTTTCTAAGCCTTAGTATAATTTGAATTAATAATGCCTTGTTTTAAAAGAAACAGCAAGTGTTTTTAAAAAATTTTTTTTAAAGCTTCCATTATAGGGAATCCCTGGGTGGCTCAGCGGTTTAGTACCTGCCTTTGGCCCAGGGCGTGATCCTTGGAGTCCTAGGATCGAGTCCCACATCGGGCTCCCTGCATGGAGTCTGTTTCTCCCTCTGCCTGTGTCTCTGCCTCTCTGTCTCTCTCATGAATAAATAAATAAAATCTTAAAAAAAAAAAAAAAGCTTCCATTATATATACTTGGGGTTGCGGTGAGCCAGCTGAAGATTTGAAATTTGGGTTCTGTGCTACAGAGCAGGACAGAGCACACACATTTTTGTATAACTTTGACAGCTCCTTTTTGTATCATTTTTGAGTATGATTGTGTTTTCAGAATATTTCTGGTAAGTTTTCCTCAAAGACATTAGTCTTTTTCTCAGAAATTATGTTTGTATAGAGGAACTGCTTCAGCAATGCTTGCGGACACTGCTAACCTGAGGAACCAGAGGTATTAGACATGAAAGCATTGATTAATAACCTGGCTGTTTTGAATTCCTAAAAGGCTATCTAGTGAAAGCTATAGATTACATTTCCAGTTTAAAGTTGGAGCTCACTCGGAAAGACTGCTCATCTCTGTTTCTACAGTTGCTAATGATTGATTGCTAATCATTGATAGTTCATTTGTTTTGCTACCTATGGAGTAAAACTTGCCCCTTTCCTATACTTCTTGATAATGAAGTTACACTTGTTATCCTACAGGTCATTGAGGTTCTGTTTATTTTTTTCAAGGTGTTTTTGTTTTGTTGTAATCTGTTGTCAGGTTCATGGATTTTTTTCCTTTACATCTAATTTGTTGTGAATTCCCGTTGGTGAGTTTCTTATTTTAGAGATGGTGTTTTTCAGTTCTAGGTTTTTCATTCTTTTTTTATGTTTCTGTTCCTTTGCTGAGTTTTTGTTTTTTTTTTTTGTTTTTATTCATTATAAACCTGTTTTCCAGTATACTCTTAAGTATAATTTCTTGCAACTGCTTTAAAAATGTTCCTTTTCTAATTCAACAGCTGGGTCATTTTGAAACTGGTCTGTACTGACTCTCTTTGTCTCTTGAGTATGGATCATGTTTTCCTGTTTCTTTGTATGTCTAATAAATTTCTTTTGAGTCTTAAATATTGTGAATTATATGTGTAATAAAGACTCAGGATTTTGTTATATTCCTCTAGAAAGTTTTTGTTGGTTTTGTTTTTTTTTTTTCTTTTTTAAAGATTTTATTTATTTATTCATGAGAGACACAGAGACATAGGCAGAGGGAGAAGCAGGCTTCCTGCAGGGAGCCCAGTGCGGAACTAAATCCCAGGACTTCAGGATCCTGACCTGAGCCAAAGGCAGACACTCAACTACTGAGCCACCCAGGCACCCTGGTTTTATATTTAAATGGGTAGTTAACTTGGCTAGACTCAAACTCCAAACTTTCTCTTCTTTGCAGTGGGTGGCATATAATACATCTTCTTTCTTCTTTTAATGCTTTTAAAAATATCCAGAGTTTACAGTTAAGTTTTCTGTGAGAGAATTGGTCCCTTAGGAGGGACTTGGCCATTATCCGAAGCAGAACCTATTCAGATTTGAAATAGGATTTATTTTAAAGTACATATTGAACGAGCAACTCCTCGGGTTGTTTTTTAGTTTAAAAAAAGGTTTTTTTTTTTTTTTTTTAGATTGCAGTAAAAACCACATAAGGTAAAGTTGGAGATAATAAGCATGTCTTAAGAATACACCATCAGTGTTAAGTATGTTCACATTTTTGTGCAAAAGATAATCCAGAACTTCTATATTTTGTAAAACAGAAACTCTAAATCCATTAAACACTTTTCCTCATCCTGCTTCCTAATCCCTAGCAAGTAACATTCTACTTCATATGATTTAGACTACTCTAACTCAGCAAAGTGGAATTGTACCTTATTGATTTATAATTGGCTTATTATACTTAGCACAGTATCTGAATTTCTTCTGTGTTGCAGCATTTATAAGAATTTCCTTCCTTTTTGAGGTTGATATACTGCATTATATGTACACACCAGTTTGCTTATCATTTTGGTTGCTTCCATTTTTTAGCTATTGGGAATAATGCTACTGTGGATATGGTTGTAAAAATCTTCAAGACTGCTTTCATTTTTTTTTTTTTTTAAGATTTTATTTATTTATTCATGAGAGAGACAAAGAGAGAGAATGGCAGAGACACTGGCAGAGGGAGAAGCAGGCTCCATGCAGGGAGCCTGACATGGGACTCGATCCCGGGACTCCAGGGTCACGCCCTGGGCTGAAGGCAGGCGCTAAACCACTGAGCCACCCAGGGATCCCCTTTGAATTTTTTAAAAATTTATTTTATTAAAAAGCAAAAATTTATTTTTGCTTTTGCCCTAAGTTTTCTTCTAGATTTTTATAGTTTCACATTTTACATTTAGGCCTTTAATCCATTTCAAGTTAATGTTTGTTTATATATGGTGTTAGGTAAGGGTCAGGTTTCATTCTTTTGTATGTGGATATCCAGTTTCCTAGCATTTTTTATTGAAAAGATTGTCTTTCCCCATTGAATGTCCTGGCACTCTTGTCATAAGTTGTTTGACCATAATACGTGTGATGATTTATTTTTGGACACTCTCTTCAACAGTGTTTTTTTGTTTTGTTTTGTTTTTTTTTTAAAGATTTTATTTATTCATGAGAGACCCAGAGAAAAGGCAGAGACATAGGGAGAGGGAGAAGCAGGCTCCTCGCAGGGAGCCCAATGTGGGACTAGATCCCAGGACCCTGGGATCACTCCCTGGGCCAAAGGCAGACACTCAACTGCTGAGCCACCCAGACACCCCTCTTCAACAGTCTTTATGCCAGTATTACACTTTTAATTACTATAGATTCGTAGGAAGTTTTTTTTTTATTTTTTTAATTTATGATAGGCACACAGTGAGAGAGAGAGAGAGAGGCAGAGACATAGGCAGAGGGAGAAGCAGGCTCCATGCACCGGGAGCCCGACGTGGGACTCGATCCCGGGTCTCCAGGATTGCGCCCTGGGCCAAAGGCAGGCGCTAAACCGCTGCGCCACCCAGGGATCCCCTCGTAGGAAGTTTATTTAAAGATTTTATTTATTTAAGAGAGAGCATGAGCAGGGGGAGGGGCAGAGGAAGTGGAAGAAGCAGAGTACCCTCTGAGCAGGGACCCCAGCGCCCTTGATCATGCAAAGGCAGATGCTTAAATGACAGCCTACCCAGATGCCCTCTTTCAGCAACGTTTTACAATCTTCATGGTGCAAGTCCTCCACCTCTTTGTTTTAGTTAATTCCTAAATATTTTATTCTATTTGATGCTTTTGTGAATGGAATTGTTCTTGTAACTTCCATTTCAGATTGTTCATTGTTAGTATATAGAAATGCAACTGATTTTTGTGTGTTGACTTTGTATCCTGCTACTTTGATGAATTCTTTTATTCAAACAGTTCTTCTGTTTTTTAAACATGTAACGTTAGGGACGCCTGGGTGGCTTAGCAGTTGGGTATCTGCCTTTGGCTCAGGACGTGGTCCCATGGTCCCAGGATCGATTCCCACATTGGGCTTCTGCATGGAGTCTGCTTCTCCCTCTGCCTGTGTCTCTGCCTCTCTTTGTGTGTGTCTCATGAATAAATAAATAAAATAAATAAGAATAAACACATAACATATTTTAGATGTATAACCTAATGGTTCAATATTTGTATACATTGTGAAAATGATCACCACAATAAGTCTGATTAACACCTGTCTCCATACATAGCACCAAATTTTTTTAGTGATGAGAACTTTTCAATAGCATTTAAATCTGCAATGTAATATTATTAACATGTGGTTACCATGCTGAACCTTACATTTCTATGACTTATAACTTGATAGTATGTACTTTTTGACTACTTCATGCATTTTCCCTATCCCACACCTGCTGTGCTGGCAACCTCCAAGGCTTTGTTTTTTCTTTTTTTTAGATTCCACATAAAGATGAAATAATACAAATACAGTATTAGTCTTTCTCCATCTCACTTATTTCACTTAGCATAATGCCCTCAAGATCCATCCATTTTATTACAGAGGCAAGATTTCACTCTTTTATGGCTAGATAATATTCCATTTGTGTATGTATATCATATTTTTTATCCAATTATCCATCAGTGGACACTTAGGTTGTTTTTGTTTCTTGGCAATTGTGAATAATGCTGCTGTATACAAGGGGATGTATATATCTTTTTAAGTTAGTGTTTTTGCTTTCTTTGGATAAGTACCAGAACTGGATTATTGGAGCATATGGTGGTTCTATTTTTGATATTTTGAGGGGCCTCTGTATTGTTTTCCACAGTGGTTGTACCAGTTTACATTCCCAGCAATAGTACTTGAGAGTTCCCTTTTCTCCACATTTTATCCACTAGTCCTATCCTATCTTTTTAATAATGGCTGTTCTGACAGGTGTGAGATGATATCTCATTGTGATTTTTGCATTTCCCTGACTGTGATGTTGAGTATATTGGTGGCCATCTGTAGGTCTTCTTGGGAAACATGTCTGTTGAGATCCTCTACCAATTTATAAATTAGATTGTTTTTTATTATTAAGTTCCATGAGTTCTTTATATATTTGGGATATTAACCCCTAATCAGATATTTGAGTTGTTTTTCTTTTTGTTATTCCAACTGGGTCATTTCCACTATCCTGTTCTGATCCATTCTTCTGTATCATCTGATCCGTAATTAATTCCCTGTATTGTATTTTTCCTGTCAGTTGTATTCTTTAGCTCTGATTCTTCAGGTCTCTTTTTAAATTTCCTCTTTGTTGAAGTTCTGTGTTCCCCTATTCTTCTGAATTTGGCGAGCATTTCATTGAATTTATAATCTGGTAGATTGCTTATCTCTATTTTGTTTAGGGTTTTTTGTTTTTGTTGCTTTTAGATTT